GCAAAAGCGATTAAAAATTCTTATTCTAAATGTAAAAGAAATAAAAATAAAATAAAAAAATTAAGCTTACGAGTTTGAGGCGTTAGTATAATCGTTTTCCGGTTCTTGCACTTGTATCCTGATCTGTGTACAACTTTGCTGTTCCTTCCCATCCTTAACGATTTTTGTGGTAACCTGAGATAAAAAAAAAATCTCTCGATAAAAATCATTCTATTAAATCCGCGATAAAAATACGACATCGTATTGTAAACTCGGATGTTTTCTTCTTCTTTTTAAATCGCTCACGAGACCATTAACGTCTTCGCCTTTTACCTTTGTTCCACACGATAATCGATCGTTTTTAATCATACGGAATACAGCGTACGATTATCGTAACAAATCACCTGAGAAGTGGTAGGGATTCCAGCCATGCGTTTCCTCAATTCATTGAGTTGCAATTCTCTCTGGAAGCTCACGTCATTTTCCTGCGAATCCTCGCGTAATCCGTCGTTAATCGATTCCGAGGAGTATTCTACCTGCACCCAAGGACAAATGGTCGGCGATGCTTGCAAGGAATTTTTGCTTCCTGGTCGAGAGAGTCGAGGGGAGAGCCGTCGAAGTAGCGAAATGAGTTTCGATCTACGAGTTGTTCGCCTGTTATTACACAGATCTTTCTTACACAGAATCAAATGATAGAATAACGTACTTTGTACTGGGTGTTTGAAGGTGATCAGAACTGATTGCTCCACTTCTTGAAAGCTGTTCCGCGCTACGAGTAGTGTCCCTCCAATGCAATTTGTTAATTGATCTTCCTACCCGCCAATCTAGGCTATTGCTTTGACGAGATTGAAGGCCTGAAATAATAATTTCGAATGATGCTCGTGTAACCTTAACGCTGGTTCGACGATAACGGTACACGGTATACCGATCGTCTCGAACCGAAATATTCGATTCCCCACCTTTCTCGTTCGTCGTTTGATTAACCCTCCAGTCTAAGGAGCTAGTGCTTCTATTCACGCTATAAATATTATCACAGGATTTTGTCGCAAGATATGTCGCGTGATGACGACGTCTAAGCAATTTTGAAACTGGTCCCAAATGCCTGAAATACAATCGTATCGTTAGCAACGAATAAAATTTCTATCGACGAAACAAAAAAAAAAAAAAAAGAAGAAGAAACAATATACAACATACTTACTTTTTAAATTTCCGAGATTGCTCGATAGGCGGTTTGCTGTCACAAACTACCACTTTGACTTCCGGTTCCGGATAGTACGTGCCCACACGAATGTGGCCGTAATTATTACGGACACCGTCTAAGGACCGGAAGTTACCGCGCTCGTTCGAAGGTACGCGGACGATTTCGATTTTCGGTCTTCCCTCCATTCTTCCTTTCTTCGCGTCTTTCTATATATATATATATATATATATATATATATATATATATNCGTAGTGGAATCTTGAGCTACTTCTACTCCTAAAGTTCTCTCACTCTGCTATCGTATCACGTCATAACGGTTGATTCTATCGAGGCATTTGGCACGCGCGGTCATTCCATCACAAATCTTCGCCGGATTCACGAACCACGTGCGTCCAACTCTTCTCTTATCCGTACTGGAATTCCACGTTCATTCATTCAATCGGTATCGAACACGTTTGCCCCGATATCGGCAAAGATAATTAGAATCGGATCGTTCCGATCCGCTCGTTTCCCTCGCTTTCGATTTCTCGCTTCACAGAATCTTCGCCGCCCGGAGATTTATCCATCTCCATTTTTTTTTTTCCACTCGATTCGTTCGTCCGCCGCACATAGGTCCGCACTTGAGTCTCGGTAAAAATTTTCTCACAGAATAAATATATATATATATATATATATATATATTCGGAAAAAGGGTGTACAAATATATATACGATTCTGGTATAAAAAATTTAAAGCGACGATATATATATTTATGTATATAAAAAAGAAGTAAAGTATCTTCTTTATTTGCACTCTTCGCAATATTCGAAGAGAACCTGTTCTCTCACATTTACGAACCTCCTGTTCTCTTTTTCGCCGCGCGTTTCTACAGTTTCTGTGCTCGTTTGTGTGGTTTCACCCGCGTCGTGTCTCTTGCTCGAAAAACCGGCGATCCCAATTTCCTAAATACAGGGGAGGGAGGGGGGAAAGAGAGAGAGAGAGAGATAGAGAAAGATACACAGGTATTAACCATGACTTTTTTTTTTTCCCTCCAACGTATCGTACCGCGTGATCGAGACGCCTATTTTCGAGCAGTGATTGCGCAATCATCAATTATGATTAGAAGGAGGACAATACACGACTTGACTTACATCAGGCGATTGTCTTCGTACAATCGTTTTGAAATTGTTCTCGTTCGTCTAAATTGTTACGAGCTCGAAAAAAGAAACGATATATATATATATATTTAGATTCCTAGGTTTATCTCTTTTTCCTCTCGATTTTAAGCAGGATTACTTTACGACGTTGAATACAATACGACGTGTCTCGGTCTTTTGTTGAACACGAGGAATCGTATTTCGCGGGTAGAAGAGCGTAAAGAAACGCGTTGGTCTTCGTTCCATTCGAGAGGCGATACGGTTCAAATCGCGGTAAGTATTCGCATTGGTTGGAGATTTTCGCGCGCGTTTATCGTCACCGATATTTATTTAAAAACCACCATCCATCGGACGAAACGCGAAACATCTCGCTGGATCGAAACTCTGAATTTTCATTCAATGGCAATTAACCCGTTAATTAATTCGAAAATAATATATCTGCCTAGCCTACGTCGAACCGGTGTATGGATTTCCATAATTGCACCGAGACTGTGCTCCGAGAGGCAAACTTCTAATTAGAAAAGAAAGTGCGAAATAATTCGAACACTGAGAACACTTGGAGAAGATTATAACCCGTTCTCCGGGTTTAACAAACTTGGCCGAATATATCGGATATCACGATGCGACGCGAACAAACGAAAACGATCCAACCAACCACCTTACACATTCGACTACAGTTCCTGTTAAACTGTTCGCTCAACCGCTGTTCACGCTTCGATCGGGCAAATTATTGTATCGATCTTGATAAAAATAAAACGCGTGGAAGGTGCACCACTAGTGCAACGCTTGAACGATTCGATTTGATAACAGCGAACGACACGCTTGCAATGCGACGACAACAAAAATACACGTATAAATATATATTAATATTAAAAAATATCCTACGAATTAAAATTTAGACGACAGGGCCAGCGAGGTAGGTCGCTTGAAATTCCATTAGCATTTCTCGAAGAACGGTAACGAATCGATTAGGTTTGCGGTCGAACGCGCGACACGTAGACGCGGGGAAAAGGTAAAGAAGAAGGTTGAAGAGCCGCCGTTTTCGCGCACTATTGGCGAGGAGGATTGGCGCGGCTTCGCCGCGGTATNTCCGCGCTCTGCGGCTCGCGGAGATTCACTGCCGGCTTTGACGTACGCGATCGTTGCGCTTTACGCGCGCACACAGATGCCTCGCAACACACAAAAGCCATGTATCACACATCGTTGGCTTTTTGGAGCAGCGCGAAAAAAAAAAAATAAGTAATTAAAGCGTAAATACCTATATACGCGACCGTGTACCGTCATGCTTTACCGAAACTGGTGCTCGACAGACCAGATCTAAACATCGTTCGATCGTGAATTTCCACCTTTTTTAACTTCTCCTCTTTCTCATTTTAGTTAAATTCTAGCCTTAACTTAGTTATAGAGTGACGACGATTTTAACGAATTTTTAATCAACACCAGACTACCTTTCCCTGTTTTATCCTACATCTTCGAGAGAGGATACTTCGAGAAGCTTGAAAAATCGCTCGAATTGTTTAACCGTCAAATTTCTTTCCGTGCAACGATACGAGCAATTACTCGACGACGATATTTCATCATCGATAATACACCACCACGGATTATCTACGAAACGGATTATCCACGCCCATTGCACTCGATCGAGACGTAAATCGGAAGCTGATGATTCCTAGACGCGTATCGTGGCGGTATTTCCGATTACGGGAACTCCCATCGCGGCTATCCAACCCGTGGCGAGCACGTGCGCGGCGGAAGCGTAGAGGCGCGCGGTTACCTCTACTGAAAAGTTAATCAATCGTCCGTCTGGCCGCGGTGAGGTAAGAAGGAAGAGGTGCGTGTCTGAGAGTGTGATTCGCGCGTGCTCGAAACTACTACCGAGCCACTACCACCGGCATTATTACCGACAGCTGGAGAGAGGGAAGGCCGTTTCTTGCAACAAGCTTTGCAAAGCTATCTTTTCTACTTCAAGATTTGCGTGGCCCGGTGTGCGATACGTACTACCTGAAAATAGCAACGACACACTTCGCGGTCTGCTGTGCCGCCGACATCGAACGTCGTCGCCGTTGGATCGGCGTCGTCGATGAGGAGAGACTCGGTTGGAGGCGTGCCAGGATCCCCTGTCCTCGAGGGCTCCGTGTCTCCCCAAGGCCTCTTCGTCGATTCTTTCCCTCGAATTATCCCGGTCGATCCGGGGCGTAGCTCGCCCCCTTTCTACTACTACTACTACTACTACACGACGAACAACGAAAATTCACCGGTGTTTCGTTTGTTATGAGGAGGGAAAAGGAAAAAATGGACGAAAGCACTGGCGTGCACGCGATCACGTGTCGGACGCGCGTTCCTCTTTCGCAGAAGCACCTTACCACTATTTTCGAATCGGTGGTGGACGGAGGACAAGAGGGGAGGGGGAGAGAGAGAGAGAAAGAGAGATAGAGAGAGAGAGAAAGCGAGAGGGAAAGAGGCAGGGGTTCCCCCTTCGAACCCTCTGCTCGACAGCTCTCCCGCCCTNTTCGATCGCGACCACCCGCGGGATGCTGTCGACTACTGCAACGAAATGCGCCGAGGAAATCCCTATGCTCTCGAGCCCCCTCACCCCCTCGCCTCTCACGCCTGGCCCGCCAACCGATGGACCTGCGCTTTTCACCGCTGCACTCGCTCGCTCGCGTTCACGGCAATCACGACCGACCACTTTTTCATGGACTGACTTTTATCGACCGGGTGTGCGTGATAAAGAAGGCTCGTGAGTCGCGTTCAAATCGAGGAGACGTGAATTTATTCGTCCCCCTTGTATCTTACCGATCGAGGAGAGAGGGGAGGGAGGAGATGTTAACGATTAAACATCTCGGATGTTTCGTCGTTGGTATACGTTATTAGATCCGAATAGAAAGATATTTCTATCATTTAACGACGATTTTCCAATTCCATTTCGTTGCAAGCAAGTTTCTTCTCACTTATAATTCTCTAAATCCTCGCAAATCCTATATGGTTTCGTGTCTTGAAACGATGCTTCGTATCTTGAATATATATCATATATATGAATATTCCGAGGAATATTCGGGTCGAGGTAATTTCAATTAACAATGAAGAAAACGAAGTCAATAAAGTTGGTTGGAATGCATAGGAAGATCCACAAGATTGATGCAAGATTTTTGTCGATTGGTACGTAGCAGAGAGATGCAATGTGGAATCGTACGTGGGTTTTCAAGTGTATTCTTTCGTAACGTTTCAATTACGTCTTCGTTGCATTACGAAGTATGCGTATATAAGTCTTCAAATGATGGATCCTATACTCGTGATTCGTTGTACGCGAGAAACTTCTGGGAAAAAGCAATCTTGGAAACGCAAAAAAAAAAAAAGAGAAAAAAGAATTAAAAGGCGCGTCCAACCTTGTTCCAAGAATTTACAATTCAATTGCATACATCAAGCATCCACGCATAGTACGTTGTTTGGATCAGCGATAAAAATAATATCGCTAATCTTTATATTTATACATAAGAATATATAATCGTAATTATAATATTTCGTTCGTTGTTTCGTTCTATAAAGATATACGATATAAGGAACGTACAGAGTAGCGACGATCGTAATTTATTTGATCTTTATTTCGTATTTGTACACGCCCTTAGCATGCCACATACAATCAATATGATACAGTCCAATGCAGCCAAGGTAGAAGTAAAATACAAAAAATATATATATATATATATATTTATATATATATTTATATTCTACGTCGATAGTTAATATTATTGTTACCACGATGTTATAACGCTGAATATATTATGGATAATAGCTAAAAATATAATACAAAGAAGAGTGCTGATTACAATAGGACACGTAATTCGGATTGAACGTGGTGCAATTTATGATAATTTTTCATCGTTTCCTTCGAAATAACGCTAAAAGAAACGATCCTTGTTTCTCAGAGTTTCATTTTGTACGTAAATCGAAAAGTAAAACGATCTTCAAAATGAAATTCAAAATCACAGCTCTCTTACTTGTCGAAAGATTTACAAGATAACGTTCGATGCAAAAAGAAAAAAAAAGAAAATATATATATATATAAAAAAAAAAAAAAAACAAGGAGAACATGAAAAGCTTTTTTTTTTTTTTTTTAATAACATTACGTATGGCTATGCAAAAGTATAAGTATAAACCATATCATGATACGAACGAGGTTCGATTTGGTATTTCGTTTACTTTCAACCCGCTTTGAGCGGGAATATGAGCGTGCACAAATTTAGAGAGACTCTTCTAATATTTTTTTTTTTTTTTCAAAATTGGTAGCGCCTCTAAATAATTCGTCCTAAATAGTTCGTCAGTCCTGCTTTTTTTTTTTTTTAAATATTACTAATACGAACTACAGCGCACTATCTAATTTATTGCTGTTGAATTTCGAGAGAGAAAAAAAAAAAGAATAATTAAAAATTAATCATTATGAAAAACATGAGTACATGGTGCACCACCCCTTCGAGAATTTTTCTTTTTTAAAAATAATAATATGATCAATTAAACATAGGACCGCCACGCCTCAGATCTCCGACGATTTAAACACACTGCTTACACAGCCATACGTTCGATACGCGATTCAAAATTTACTACCGCATATACTCGGAAATAGTTAAAATCATTAACGACTTAATAATCACCAATTCAACTCGCATTTTTCTGAATAGGATTGGGGTCATTCGTTGCAAAAAAAAAAAAAAGGATCGGAAGAAGAGATACGGGAAGATAATTCGTTGAAACCTTTCGAGTTTTCTGAGTTCTTTATTAGAGCGTAGCCGATAAGCGTTTATGGCAGCTTTATGAGGATGACTGGGGTAGCGACCGTCGTAAAAGTCATCGAAAAGAAAACCTAACCCAACGGTGAAACAACAATAAAGACGAATAAATCTATAATATTAACAATAGAGTGTAGTGATATTAAACTAACGTAATTCAACTAATAAAAATAGTAAAATCATCCTACGTATTTCTGCGTGTCGTGTCATCTCTCCTCCTCTTCCATCGGTTCGGAAAAAAAGAATGAAAAAAAAAAAAAAAAAAAAAAAAAAAAAAAAAAAAAAAAAAAAAAAAAAAAAAAAAAAAAAAAAAAAAAAAAAAAAAAAAAAAAAAACAGAAATATTACAGGCGGCAGAACGAGTCGAAAAAGAGAGAACAAAAGGGGTGTGGTAGGTAGAGCGGAGATCAGAGGTGTTCACGTACTAACAATTATCTCGTTCGTCATCGTTGACATTATATTATAATAATAATCGTAGGAGTTTACGGCTCTCTCCCAATTACAGCCTCGCTGACTGGAATAAAACGCAACTACGTAATATTGTATTGCGGGCTTACGATAGTTAGGTCTCTCTCTGTCGTCTCTCTTTTTCTGCACGACTTTCTGATAATTAATACTATATTCTCGTTATAATTTTACGCTCAGTTTCATCCTCGCGCAAATGCTAAAATTTTATTCTTCTTTTTTTTCTTCTTCTTCTTCTTCTTCTTCTTTTTCTTCTTCTTCTTTTAAAATTATCTCTTCTTTTCTTATTCATTCTTGTTTCCACACATACGTCCTCTTGCTCTCTCACTTTCTCACGCTCTCGCACTCTTATCACCCATCTTGCATTTTTTTCCTTTTTTTTTTTTTCTATTTCAATCTTTCACGATGCAGGATAGCACGCGAACGTTTCGTAGAAAAAAAAAAAAAAAAAATAATAAACGATCGTTGTCGCGATGATTTGTTCGTTTGCGATCATCCTGCGCATTATTAATTTTTTTAACCTTCTTCTCTCTCTATCTCTCTCTCTCTCTCTCTCTTTCTATATATATATATAATATACTTTATAAAATACATTAGTTTACAAACAACGTGGATTAAGTGACGACGTCTCGCGGAAGTTATCACAGCTCAGGCTCGATCGTGGAACGGCTCGACTAAGAACTCTACCCGGGCGAAACTAATGGAAGAACTCTAGCTCGAGAGAAAAAAAAAAAAAAAAAAAAAAAGAAAGCGCATTTTTCGCGTGGTTCGCGCGCTACCACTTCGCATGAACTACTCGACGAATATCGCTTATATATATATATATCTATATATATATATATCGGTTATTTCTCCTGAACCGGGTTACGCTACGGACGTCAGTCATAAACGCATGATTTTTTTCTTTTTTTGTTTGTTTTCCTTTTACCCTTTTTACCCTCTCATTTTCTCTCTAATCTTCGTTAATTACGGAAAATAGTACTAGAAATATCATGGTAAAACGGGATCGCGTTACGGAGCTGCGCAACCGACTGGCAGAGACGTCGATCATTAGAACAATAAGACTATCTTATCGTGCTACATACATATTTACAAAGCCTCCTGCACGGAGGCGTTCTCCCTTCCTTCGATTTCGTTTCCTGAATCCGAAACATGCACTACTAGCTAGTACAGGAAGTTAATGGGAAGGCGTTCATTCAAAGGACAGTTTTTCTCCCCTTTTTTGATTAACTGCCCGAATCGAATTTCGCGGTTAAAAATAAATATCTTCAAATTATATCGTATACCGTGATAAAAACAACGATCCGAAACGTGAATCAACTAACTCGAACGAAATTCGCAACGGCTACGATGATATTCTATTAAAATGATATAATGATAGTGCATGTTCCGGACGTATCTACAAATGAGGCAAGATCCCTTCAACGAAATACCCTTTCACCATCCATCGGACCACCGTTGTACCTATGTTATATCATCCGCTCTTTAAGGTTGCGTCGATACCGAACACGAAGAACGTACAAAGAATTCTGAACGGGTGGTTGCACGATTTGCAAAAATATTTTTCAACTATTTCCTACATTTTTCTTGCTCTTTTTTTTTTTTTATTTTTTTTTGTTTTTTTGTTTTTTTTTTCTTTTTACTTAATTTTTTCCAAATACTAACTTTTAACGATCGGGGGACTAATATCTTTTTTAAGAATTAACGGTAACTGTTACCCTCGCGCGAGGGTAATTGGATGGTATAATTTTCTCTTTTTTTTTTCTTTTCTTTTTGTTCCTTTTTTCTTTTTTTTTCTTTTTTTTTCTTTTTTTTACTGTAGTAGATAAATCTCTAACTTTTGCTCTGTTTTCGAACGGAAATAAATCGATATTATCGCTCTTAAAATGTGTGAATTTCGCGCGATAAAATATGTCGCTATAATATTTTATCTCTCTATCTAACGAGCACTTCGCGTTGAATTGGACACGGAAAACGGGATAATCGGATAAAAGTTACAATTTGACGAGCTTTGTTGTCGAGCCTAATCTCTGCAGACCGAAGGGAAAGAAAATATCCGGGCTGTTGCAGCGACGTTTTTCATCTATACTCATCTCTTACGCTCGGATCCGGTAATCGTGAACAACATGTAATACCGGCATCATACGGAATAATTACTCTGATAAACGAGAAATAACGAATCGTTACAATGTCAGGATGTTTTCGGACCACAATCTCTTGCGAACCCTCGCTCTCTCGCGTCCCTACGTATCCCTGGAAAAAACGACAACTTCATATTTTACGAAACGAATATATACAATTTTAATAATTTGAAAGCGAAAACTGGATCATCTATAATAAACGTGGCGTGAAAAGCAAACGTGTATAAAATTGAACGAAAACGCAAATTGTTTTTTAATCATCACCTCAGGATAACTTTTTCCATCAGCATAAACAGACAGCCCTCCGAGTGATTGGCAGGAAGTAAAGACTTAAGGAGTTCCCTGATAAGGGCCTCGGTCATTCCTGGCGAGGTGCGTTCCGCTGTTTCGAACGCACTGCGCAGTTCCTCTATCGCGCCTCCGTTCTTGCCAATGCCGCTTCCGCCTTCACCATTATTGTCTCTTGCCGAATATTGATGTTTCCTTTGAAGCTACGATACGGACAGAAACAAAGGAATTAATTTCTCTATTTGTGTCCATCCATCTTTCAGAAAAGGAGATGGAACCCGATTAATAAACTTTTCTCCAATTTCTCTCGCTCTCTCTCTTTAAAAAAATATTTACCTCGGACAGGAGAGGTAAAACAACACCGGAAAGAGCCGCGCTTCGAGAATGCTTCAGTTCCTGCGAGCTCCTTGGTCTCTGTTTGTCTTCACCGGGCCTATGGTCCACCATAGGTACGACAGGTACGTCCGGTTTACTGTTCCTCTTCTCTTTCGCGCTAAACTCCCTCTCCCTGTCCCTGTCTCTTTCCCTTTCCCGCCCTTCTCTGTCCCGTTCCCTGTCCCTGCTCTCCCTGCTCTCGCGCATCTCCTTCAATTCCCTCAACGAGGAATCCCGATTGAAATCCCGGTAGTCTCGTTCCTCTCGTTTTTCTCGCGTATCCACGGGCGGCGGTGGTGCAGCCTCGTGCGGTCGGGACTGAAAGCCATCGCAATTAAATTCCACCGATATTAAACAGAAGATAAAGAGAAGATCGGCGAAACGAATTCACCGTCACAGATAAACAATTCCCTTCCTCTCCTTTTTTAATCGAATTTAATTTTACTACGCGAGTTACTTACCGGCGTATGCTTCGCTTGGCCATCGCGAACCGAGTCCCTCGACTCGCTCCTGTAATGATTCAACGTGGAATCGTTTGGCGGAGATCTCGAGGTACCGTTCGCGTGTGGCTTCGCTTGTTGATTGTGATTCGTCGATCTGTGATTCGGCGTGTGTGTGAGGGTCAACGAGGGTGGCTGCTCGTCCAACGGTAGCATAGGAACCACGGGACCTTTAACCACGTGTGGACCTTTCACCGTCATTATCCATGGATCGTCCATGTCGCTATCCTGCTTCGACTCCTCCCTGAAACAAACCAGTTTCATTGTATGTAGTCATAGTTCCTCGTACACTTAGACTGTTAAATATATACATATCGGAGGGTAAATCCTCTGGAGGATTGATTCTGAATATATATTGGTTGGCGAACACACAGAAACACAGGATCATCTCGTTCTATTTCCATCTCGCTTCGTCTATAAGTCTTCTTTTTTTTTTTTATTAGCATTTGTTTTAACAGAGACTCTAGAATCAATCCTTCAAAGAATTGCACGCACAGAATATATTTAACGCTCTGCGGAATAAATATTCGATAAAAATGGAAACTTACGAGTCCGAATTTTCGCTCTCCGTCTCGGATTCCTCGCTTCTCTGCGACTTCCACTTTTTGTATCTGTCTATGAGGTCGATCAGGTACGAGTTTTTCTTCGCCTTCCTGATGAACTGGAACTTCAATAGTTCTTTCGCCGTCGGCCTCTGAAGAAATAAAGGAAACGGATAATTAGGAAAATTATCACAACTTCCGCCAACTTGGTTCTTCTTCTAACAGAAAATTCTTTCTTCGAAGCACGTGCTCGCGAAAATTAAAATAAAACGTATAAATACGTGGACATCTCCTGGCTCGGATGGAAATCAACTCACGTTTTCAGGATCCTTGTTGAGGCAGGCCTCGACGAATTCCTTGAATTGCTTCGTATAATTTCCGGTTAATTGGGGCGGATTGTTCTTCGGTATGAGAAACAGGACCCTCATAGGATGCAGCTCGCTGTTCGGCGGTTCTCCCTTGGCCAATTCGATCGCCGTGATGCCCAGCGACCAAATGTCAGCCTGCGGAAGAAGTCTTCTTTTTAAACAAGTCGAAGAGGTGTTAATCGGGCGATAATCATGACGCTACTACCGTTCTCCTTCATCTTTCGGACATTGTTTCAGAGAAATATATACATTATATACGAGGTCAGGAGGATGTGTAACGGATTCCAAAGAATCTTTTTCTAAATATAAATCTTACGTTCCTTGATCGATTTAATAATTAATTTTTTTCTTTCTATGAAAAATATCGAAAATACATATAAATAGTGGATCTTTAAATGATTTCCCCCTGCGTGAAGAGTATGCGGATAAAGAGGAGTTGCGTCAAAGAAGAAGGAACCCCTCAAAGAGGTAAATCAGGTAAGCATACCTGAGAGGTGGAGAGTCAGAGATAGGTAATAAAATTAAATCTCTGGGGATACGTGACCGGACTGCACGCGAGTAATGTTCTCTCGAGTGGAGAGAAACAGTAAAATGAAAGATACAGCCGAGAAACTCCGGGAACTCGGGGATAATATTATCCGTGCCTTTCTCTGAGCGATTACCTTGGAATCGTAGGAAGCTTGCTTGATGACTTCCGGCGCCATCCAGAACGGCGTCCCGACGAAAGTGTTTCGTTTGCTGGTCGTATTGGTCAACTGTCCGGCAACGCCAAAATCGGCCAACTTGACGTCGCCCATCTCGCTCAGCAAAACGTTTGCCGCTTAAAAACGACGAGATTAAAAGTTAGTTAAAAGGAAGAGGGGAAAAAAAAAAAATATATATATATTCGTTCAACACAAATTGAAAAAACAGATTAATCTTTTCCTTTGTTTTCCGTTTTCTTCTTTTCTTTTTTTTTTTTTTAAATTTTTTTTCCTGTTGACAAATGCACCTTTAATATCGCGATGGAGCTTCCGTTCGCTGTGAAGATAATCCAACCCTTTGAGCACCTCGCGCAATATCACCGCGATATGCATTTCCTCGAAGTTACCGGCCTTCATCAAGTCCAGGGCCGAGCCGCCACCCAAGTACTCCATAATAATCCATAGTTTCGTTCCCTGCGAACAGAGAAAGATCCACGCTGTGTAACGAAACATCCCCCGCTTTGTGTCTGGAAACTTTGCCAGTGTGTCTCGGCCAATCTTTCTGCGCTCGAATCTGCGCCGTTACGATGCCAGAGACAGATTATACGCGCCGCGTATATATTCCGTCGTGAATTAAAGTTAATCGAAAACCGAAGAATCTGGGGATGAAGCCAATTAAAGCGAAAATAAACGAATTTACGCGAACGAAGCTGATTTATTTTTGGAGGGAAATTAAGAGGAAGGGGAGGAGGGCCTCGAAAACACGGCCTTGCTTCCGTATATTTGCACAATGGATTGATCGAGGTACACGGCAATAAATTTAGAAACGATGATATCCAACGCTATTTTCAACACCACGTGTCTTCTTGTTAACGTAACGTTAATTTTTAATAATCGTTCCGTTCCGTGTCCGCGTATGTATAGTACATCTCGCGCGGATTCATCGATAATATTACACTGGATGTCCAATCGTTCCCCGCTTCTGGGCGCTTGTGCGCACCCGTGTAAAGATGATTCATTGGCTATCCGATAATCGCATCCTAATCGATGGATTAATCAATTGCGTTGTGCACAAGGATGCTCGAGATTCGCGCTCTTTGGTCACCGGGTCGTGAAGGAATCATTAAGCAAGATACGAGACGATGACTCGATATACGGCTCGATCGTCTTCCAGCGATGGTAAAAGCGATAGTCAAGGTAATCGGGTGATGCAGACAAATAAATTTAATCGATGATCAATGCAATCTTTCACAGCTGCTCTGTCGTGAAACTCTGATATATATACAATATGTTTCGATATTATATTATAAAATAACGTTTCACACGAATTATATATATATATTTAATATCGGTGAATGAAATTCTCAAGATAAACAAATTACACACACGACCAATTAATTACCGGGGGGTAACTTTTCTAACGAATCTTTAAACGACATATACACATTTTTTGCTATATAAATTCATTATATAAAAGAAGAAATACTGACTGACCGATCAGTATTTCAGTGTTAGAAAGAACATCATAAGAAATACCTATAATATTAAGGTGATATCGGAGAAGAATTTGTTACGGAAATCCATTATCATCTGGTGTAAGAGGGAAATTCTCAAGATAAACAAATTACACACACGACCAATTAATTACCTTTCAATAACTTTTCTAACGAATCTTTAAACGACATATCCACATCTTTTACTATATAAATTCATTATATAAAAGAAGAAATACTGACTGACCGATCAGTATTTCAGTGTTAGAAAGAGCATCATAAGAAATACCTAATATTATAAGGTGATATCGGAGAAGAATTTGTTACGGAAATCCATTATCATCCGGTGTAAGAGGGGTATGTATATCGAGGCTATAAATCAAAAGGGGAGAACATTTTCTCGTGGTACTTGGCAAGATTTCTTCCAGATCGTGTTCCACTCGTCACGTCGAGGGGTGATAAGGTTGACAGTTTATGGGGAAGGAGGATATAATTTCCACGCGGTCCAGTTCGGCCAGATACTTGTGGATTCGTGGGAAGGGTGAGGGCGTGAAATGGCACACATTTATCATCGTCCTACCACGGTCAGAAGGCGCAACCGCTCGGCCCGGTTGCGTTCATTCTCATGTAGATCCACCAACGTGAACGTGGGTGGGCAGGGTTCGCGAGGGTTCGTTCAACCTGGTTTTCCAACCAGGCCACTCTTCTGCCAGACGCGGAACGAGGGGTTGCTAAATCATTCCCCTATCCAGAGGCAGACGCAGCTTACCTCCCCTCTCTCCCTTCTTCCGCGCACGCTCGAAAGAGAAGGGGTAAGGTGGTAAACGCGAGACACGGAGGAAGGCGTCGCACCGCGCTTTTCTTGGATTTCGTCGGGGTATACTCTTCTTTCTTTTCCGCCCAAGGATTCCGCTCGAACGAAACAAGTTGCCTCTTCAATCTTTCTTCCCCCTCTCTTCTTTCTCTTTCCATGGTTTTTCGAGAGAATGTCACTTTCCTTTTCTCTCATGAAGTTAAACAAGGAAGGTATTTTTAAGATCAAGGAAAAAGATAAGCCGAAGATTATTTATGACAAAATTCGCGAGAAAATAAAACGATCGACGGGAGTATAGAGTGCGTGGTATAGTGGTTTAATAAGATTCAATTTTCAAACATAAGAGAAAAAAAAGGGGGAAAGGAGAGCGAAAGAGAAAAAGAAGGGCTTGATAAGCCCTGGGGCGATTTCAAACAAAATAGTTGCTCGTTTCTCGTTCGTCCCTTTCACTTCGCGACATTACTCCCCCGATTCTTTTACCGTCTCGCGGAAGATAGACACGGAAAGATGAGGGAGGAAAAAAATGCTTCTCGCTTTAATGAATGTCGTATTAAAAAAAAAACAGAAATGTGTCGCGAATTCGAATAACCGAATTTTTCAGATTATCCGCGAAACAAGGCCAATTCCACGCGATGCTCTTCCATCGAATTTCTGTCTGACAATTAGAAACTTGTATGTGAAAAGAGTATAGAGGTAATCGAGTAGTCGACAGTATGCAAATCCTCATCGCGACTAGGCGCGATCGACTGCCTTTCGCGTATCCCACCATTCTCTAGGAGAAGCAGCTGTAAAAGCGGGATGAAATAAACGCGAGAAAATGAATGGCCGTGCGAATATTGCGCGATCTCCAGTGTGTCGCGTGTGTGAATGGAAAAGAAAGGGCGCGAGGAAGAAGGGGAGGAGGCGAAGGTTGTAACAGCGGAGCGTCGCTATGAAGAAGCGAAAGAACGATGGTGGACGAACGGTGTGATTAATGGCCGATTTCGCTTCTCTCTATCGCGAGTGTCCTTTTGTTCCTGCGTTTCGCAAAACGGCAGGCAGGCGTGTCTGTGGCAGTGATCAACGATCCCACGGAATTAATCTTCTCTCGTCCGCGTGTCCTCCTCCATCTCCTATTTCGCCCATTGCCCGGCTTATAAGAATATTCCTTTCGAATTATTTCTCCAATCACGATTTCTGTTCTCTTGGTAGAATAGAATATTCTTTTACTCGAGGAATATTAAAATATTCTCTCTCGATTTCCTCGCGTTGCCTTTGTTTATCGGTTGTTATTTCGGGAATTACTTTTGTTCTTAGAATCTCTTGTATTGTTCCACGATTCAGCTTTTTTTTT